GAGATGCAAAATGTTGTCTAGAAAACTTCACCTGTATGACCTGGATGACTGGGTATCTTCACAGATAGGTTCAGCAGTAAAATATGCAAATAATCAGAGCTTCTGGTTTATTCAGTTTATTTGTTTACATAACAGAATCAAAGCTAACTAATATGACATGTTGTCTTTTCATCTCTTTCCAAGTAATTGTTTTTCCAATAAAAAACTCTATTTTGATGAATTTCCATGGCATGCTACATCTATATCCCTCCTGTCTGTTATTTATAAAAACCAACAACAATCAAGCTCAAACTAAACGTTGCAACAATAATATAATCTTACAATTCAAGCAGCCATTTTATTTAAAATAAATTGAGATTAAATTAAACATGATTTCACCATTAAAACCCTTTAACTTTAAAAGCTTATCTCTACCAAACACAAACTGGTGAGCTGAACTAAATCAAAGGTGATATTACTTTTTTCCTAATCTTTACTAAACCTACAGCTTTAAAAGGCCACCAGTCTGTTTATAACTGAATCTCAGTGTAAATCAAGCTTTAATGTGTAGACTATATTGGTTTGCTAAAGAACTAACAGCATCATAAAGAACAAGTAACACAGGAAGCAGAGACAGATTAGGGATACAGCTGTTAATAAGTTTAAAGCAAGGTTAGGTAATGATGCATTATTTCTAGCTCTAGACATCTACAGTTATACATAATTGTTCAAATCATCATTAGAAAACAGGAAAGGGGAACACAGAATCAACCTACCCAGATATGACCAACCTACTGGAATAGATGACCCATGGTAACTCTGGAGGAGCTGCAGAGACACACAGCTCAAGTGGAAAAAGTTGTTGACAAGACAACTATAAGTTATCCTTTATAGAAATCTATACTTTTAGAAAAAGTAGAGAGAGAAAACTGGTGTTGTTGTTAGAAAACTATGGGAAGTAAGTTACAGTTTCTCAGAGGCAACTAAGCAAGCATACCAGAAGGTTTTCTGTTCAGGAAAAGTCAATATTTAGCTTTTTGTTCTGCATGCATTCATGTTTTCGGATGGTCCAGTCAAAATCTATTGACAGACAATCTCTTTTTTTTCTGCCCAAGGTTGAGTTATAGTGGGAAAAGTTGGCAGAAAAATCCCCCCCAAAGACTTTCTGCAGTGAAAAGTTAGCCACAGAGTGGAAGGTGTATGAATGCACATCAGTCTTTTTTAGATTATTTTTTACTTCCCCTTCACTGCACTCGTTATACTACCTTGTGTTGGTCATAAACATGAATTTTCAGAAAATACATTAAAGCAAAGCAGATCCTTAAAGATGATCTAACTTAATTCTTCGTGCTTCTTGTTAAAATTATGAATTATACCGTTGATTTTATGAAATTTGTAGCTTTCTATGTGAGTTTTAAAGATTCTTTCCAAATTAACGATAACTCAATAAAAGACCTATGCATTACAGCTATGAAAAAATGTGCTTTGTTAACCCATAAGGCTGCTCCGTCACACCCAGTGGTTTAAAAAGCGTACCAAAAACCTGCTCTGTCAAGTGTTTTTCTGTTTGGATGACAGTTTTAGCTGTATAATTAAATGTTTCAGAGGAAAATGATAGTGTTTATGTGCTCTAACCCATGTGGAAATGCTTCTGTATTATAAAGGGTCTACTTCATGTGGGAATTCTGCGTTACATGTCAGGTTCAGTGTGCTTGGCTGTCAGGCCTCAAATCAGAAAGAGCAATGCTCCCAGCTCAGAGCTGCTTTTGGACTTGGTGATGGATGTTTGATCTCTGTGGCACTTTGCATGCAGGACATAACTGTGGGTGGAAGCTTGCATTGGCAGGGCAGTAGGGAGGCTATCAGGGCTATGTTTGGCTTGCAGCTGGTACACTGCCAAAAAGGTGACAGATTGAGATTAAAAAAAAAGGGAAATATCCGACATGCTGAGGGATGGCAAAGGTGAGAAACGTTTCCTGAAAGACAAATTACAGTAAGTGAGTATTGACAAAGTACTGACTACCTATTTAAAGCCCTTTCCTTGTTTATGTATATTTTTATTTTCCAAGAAGAAATATACATTTGGGATCAGATACTTACTTTATAACCACATTTTTTAGTTTAAATGACGTAAAATGTTTCCATTTTTCAAATGCCAAAATAATGAGACCCGGATTTCTATGTTTGAACACACTCTCTTAGTATAAACTGTATGTCCTGTTGTCCTTAAACCATTTTATAACAAATTTGATGATATGATTAGATCCCAACAAAACATTTTTGCCCAAGTTTTAAGTTACTTGGGGAACATAATGTTATTTTCCCATTAAGTTATCTATTTCATCAAGTGCACCATTCCCTCTCCCATCAAGCCCCCACAAAACATGATGCTGCCACCTCCGTGCTTCACCATTGGATTATGTTCTTAGTTTGTTATGTTGTTTTTTTTCGTTATTTTAAATAGATTGCAGTACATGTTTGCTAATATTAAAGCTTTAAATGAGATCCTTTGAACTGAGATTCCTTCTGACCATTATCAATGATAACTATTGTGTGGTAGAAGTTGGTCATGATACCATTAACTTGTTAGAAATTAAAAGAAATAATGAGAGGTAGGAGCTAAGTGAGAGATATGCTCTGTTTTAGAAGAATATAGCAATTTAACATAACTCAAAAAAAAAAAATGCTCTTATTACTGACACTCCACTATGTTTGTGGAATTTCTTTTTCAGTATGTATGTTTTCTCCTAATAGGCTGATTTGATGGATCCACTAATTGAATAATCTATCAAAATATATTAAGTTAGTTTTCAACCAATTACAAGACCTGGCAGCTCAGGAAGCTTAGAATCCTGCAGCTTTCAGATGTATTTCTGCCTCACCACACCTGAATTAAGTGATGAAGCTATTAGCATCCCTCTGTAGAACCTGGATGCCTGCTGTAGAGGCAGTTAAGCTGTTTGATTCAAGTGTTTTGGGCCAGAGACGCTAGGCGCTGCGGGACGCTGGTTCTGGAAGATTTGAATTTGCGATAAATTATATATTTGATTGCTAAAACCAGCAGGCTCACCTTATGTAACTCAACAAAATAAATTTTATCTTTATTAATATGTAAGTATCTAATTTCAGCTTTGTGTTTAGTTTTCCCAAACACTCAGCTATGTCCAAATTAAAGCCAATGAATGGTTATTGAAAAGCCACAAATCTTCCAGGTAAGACCTCCAATTCCACCTCTTTTCAACCCAAAGTACATTTGGCTCTTTCTCTGCTGATGCATAAATAATGAAAATTATCATTTCAGTCTACATCACAGTAAAATCACCCCATTTGTCTCTCACGGCGTTTTTCACTGGGAACATTTTGCAGCCCTTTTGTATCACTGTCATCTTAGGATAATGAAAGGTTTTTAAAATAAAGTGCAAGATAACATTAAAGTTATTCTAAACGAGGTTCAGACTCAGATTGAACACATAAGAAAACTTCATGAATAAAAAAAAAAGAGGTAATTGGGAGGATTCAGACTGCGGCGGGAGATGACATGCTGTTGTAAATATGTGCACATCTGTGTGTTTATGCTGAGGCCAGCAGAACTATTATTAAAAGTGACTGCAGCGACTGCTGCAAAGGAAGGAGGGTCGGCAGTGGGAAAGCAAAATCGCTTTTTAATGAGTCCTCTGGGTGAACCAAAAGTGAAACAGGAACAATGAAAACAGTGACAACAGGCCAACGGTGTGTTAAAGATGGATTTTTCTAGAAATTACCCTAGTACTAGCTAAATGCACATTTAAGTCTGTGAAATGGGGAAACAGAGAAACATAAAATAAAAACAAAAGAACCATATCCTTAATAAACTTAAGGCAGAGTTTAATTGCTTAAATCCTTAAAATCCTTAGGCTAAATTGAAGTGCTTAGAATTTATCTATGAATTGTCACATGCATTGTATTTTAAAAGTGCCCCTCCCCTGAACAAATGTATTTTCTAAATGCTTTCCATTCGCATTTAAATGTTTTTGACCCCCCCCCCCCCCCCCCCCNCACACACACACACACACAATTATCTGTTAAATAAAAAGGAAAACTGGAAAAACATATTCAAACCAACCTGGCTTTGTGTGAAAAGTGATAATCTTTATGCTTGCTGGCTTTGGTTGTGGTTTTCTTTGCATTCCCTTGTTTTGCAGGATTGTTTTATTTCAGATACTTTGTTTTTTAAGAGTAACCAATTCAATTAAATTTCAATTCATTTTATTTTTTAATTTTATTTATTCAGTTTTTACTCTTGTTTACTCATATTTTACTCCACCAATTTACAAAGCATGTAATCTCAAGGTATTTTAAGAAAGTCAGCTGATTGCATAGACTCATTGAAAGCAATCCCTCACACCAAGCATGAAAAACTAAATTTTAACGGTAAGAATCCTCCAGCAGAACCAGTGTGAGCCGCCATCTGCTGAGGCCGACTGGGGTTCAAGAAGACAGAAGCAGACGTAGAAAAAGTAGCAGAGATACAAAAGCAATTTTAACCAGGATTTTATAGAAGTCCTGCACAAGCTTTACTGTCAGATTTAGGTCTAGATTTTGACTAGGCCACACTTTTGACAGCCAATCAGATGTAGACTTGCTTGTATGCTTCAGGTGCTTTTGTGTCCAAAATAAAAAAAAATTAATGGGAGAACAACTACATTTTGGTGTTGGTTTCAACATAATAGAGTGGGAATTTAAAGCTTTCATTAAAATTTGACAATTTTTTTTTAATCAAGGGATTTCATAAAATACAATAACTGAGAATTTGTGTCATACTTTTAATGCAACCACACAATATTCACAGTGTTAAGAGATGAGTTTGCTGCAACCTCATGCAGTTTACAGTGAATGTTTAAATCATACATTTAGAACAATGGGCTTTGATCTGACATCTATCTATTAATAGAGAGAATATGGATTGTCAGGATAAAGGTTGTTAAAGTTTTCTGTCTTTATTTCCATTACTGGCTAAATCCCTCTGTTTATTTTGTGACCAGAGTCAACCAGAGATGGAGTACTCCATGCCTGAGCTGCAGGCCCCTCGATCCAGTGTGGCTGACAAACCCTGGCCCCAGGTCCACTCCCACACCCAGAGACCCCACGGTAGGGATGTCTTTGTTCCCGAGAATATCTTAGAAAATGTAAAATAATAAACACTTTTTTCATATGTTGCCACCTTAGAAACACAAGCAATAATGGTTTTATAGTAGCTATGTCTGTATGATTAGGGTCCTTGTCTTTTGCAACCTCTAAAACGTTTATCTTCAGGATTTCCCTTTTTTGAGCTTTTTTCATTTACTCTACAAATTTTCCTGTCCCTGCAGAAGAAAAGCATTATGACAGCATGGTAATTCCACTCCCATGTTTCACCTTGTGGGCAGTATTTTCAGAGTGCTGAGCTGTGTACAGTAGAGTGCTTTCCACCACACAGCATTTTAAAGTATAAGACTAAGAAATGTCCTGTCAACAGATCCTTTTCGCTAAGCTGTGAATTCCTGCAGCTCCTCCAGAGTTACCTTGGCTCTCTGGCCTGCTTATTAGATTATTCCTCCCATTGCCCATCCCTTTTGTTGGAGGTCCATGTCCTTATAAAGACTATAAATTGAAAACTTCCCTTGTGAGATGTTTAAAGCCTGAGATATTTTTTTAATAACGGCCCAGTAACAATAGCTGTATTTTCTACCTGTATTGCATTTCAGACAGTGCAGTTACAATTAATGATTAGTTGATTGGAAGATCATACATTTTTATTTAGGGATATTATGAATGCCACACCTTTTTATTAATGAAATGCTTGAAAAAAAAAAAAAAAATATGTATCAATTACAATCCCATGAAATTCAATAGATATATTTCTGAATGCAATGTGACAAAATGAAAAAAATTTGCACATATGTTGAGTCTAATAATACAAAACATTTTTTCTTCATTGTGTTGCAGGTGTTAAGGGACGAGGACAAAAAGGAGCAGGCAAAGTGGTGGTCAAAGGGAAGCACCCCATCCAGGACATAGAGGACGCTGCAGCTGACCATGACTTCCTGGGCTGCATGTCAAGGTCAGATAGCTTGCTTGACTAAAACACTAAAGAGAGGCCAGATTATTGGTGAATTCACATGCATGACTCATTTAGTCTGAATTTTAATATTGTCCAAGCTTTTATTCCTACTACATTTGAAATGAAACCTTTTGATTTTTGTATTGCATTTTGAAGCGTGTCATAATATTCATATAAAGTATTTTACCTGAGATTGTCTTCATCTCTGTACATTAGTCTGCCTCTTAGGAATAACGCGTTTCTAAGAAGTGACTGATAATTCATAACAGGGCATGATCTTTTTTTTTTTTTTTTTTACACTGTTTTATATCACAGCATTTCAGTTAAAATGTTTAAAAATACACAGTTTCACATTTAGGCCAATTATGACTTCTCAGTGATTCATTGACGCCAAATTTTGTCTTCCTCCTATTTTCAGACGTTCAGGCCTTCCAAGGTGGATTTTAGCTGCTTGTCTCTTTCTGTCCATCATGGTCATGCTGTGGCTCAGCTGTGCCAGTCTTGTCACCGCACCGGAGCAACACATCAAGACGCAGGTGCTTATTTGGAAAAAGGAATACCATTTTTATTCCAGTTTCTCCAGTATTCTCCTGTTCTACCCATAGTTTTTGCTCCCTATTTTAATGTTAGTAAAATTCTTAAAAAACTAAAAAACTAAATCATAAATGATAAAAAAAAATAAAATAAATAACAATCTACAACATTAGTATAGCAGGAATAATTGTACATATTTTCATACATCTTCTCTCATAAACAGCCAGAAGGTTTAAGTTGACTTTATTGATACTCATAGGTAAACTTGTTTTGCAGACTGGAAAGAGCTAAATTAATACCAGTATTTCTGTTCGGCTCAATACATTTTTGTAGCTTGTGAGTAAATTTTTTGTTAAGTTGTCAGATTTCATATCGATTTTAGTGTTAAAATTGAGCATAGGATTTTAAAATATATGTGGACACAAAAAGTGACAGCGTGAATGTTGCCTTTAATATTATTATGGATTAGATTTTTTTTTTTTTGCTTAAAATATTCGCCTACCTGTACACCTTGTCTTCATACTCTGAATCTTGCACTACTGTATGTCATTGTGAACAAGTATAGTTTTTTTAGAACAAATGTTGCAGCTTTATCATAAGATCAACATCACTGTACATTAAAGTATAATATGCAGACTCTTGGATTGCCTTATGATGCTGGATGCTTGACACCGAAAGTGAAACCACCTGCTGATTATTTATGCTAATGAATTACTGACCACTTTGAGGTACTCATAGCAAATTGAAACCTCATATCCTGAAGGCTTGATGATCATTACCAGTGAGAATAAATTAAATAAATAAATAAATACATACATTAATTAATTAACTTAGGAGAGTAAATATGAGTAAATCAAAACAACTTTACAGAGGTGAAAAAGACACTGATATTGCACAAATTTCGCTTAATACTCATTTAGATTATACAATGTGTGTTTTAAACAATCTAAATAAACCTTGCGACAGAACTATTAGAGATATGCTTAGATAACCATGATCTTGTTTGTTTATTGCTTCTATTTCTTTGTGTTTCTTAGCTGAGTATAAACGGAGATAAGGAGTTTATGGAACATGTGCACAAGGTCAACCCGTTCCACCTGAGTCCCATGATAGCTGTCAGCATGAAGCAGTCGGGGGAGATGCAGGAGGCGGGACCACTTCCAGTCAAAGTTGACCTCAGCAAAACCTGTGTGTAGAGAGAAAGCAACTGTTTCTTGTTACTTTTGGTAACCAAATGTAAAACATGTGGCTTGTCATCAATGCACCACTCAGAAAAGTTTTTAAAAAATATTTAATAAAAAACCAAGGCTCCATGTCCTGTTATTCAGAACGATCAGTAACATCGTTGTCAGTCGGATACATTTTTCAGTTTTTCATTGTACAGTCCAGGTTTCTGCAAGTACAGCCTCAGATTATCATTATTAATATGGCTCGCTCATTGCTTATAAGAAAGACGCAGCCTTGTCTCGCATTGGCACACAAGACGAGCAGGGAGGATAGATTACAGCTGTAAACTCTGCTGTCACTTTTAATGGTGAGTTTGGACAAATGCAGAGATTCATGTTAGATTTAATTTATCTCGTTCTCACAGTGGTGGGATTAATTAAAAACGGCCTCGCTCAGACGATGAAAGATGAAAAGAGGTGGGAGAGAGGGTAGAGGAAAATGAATGAAAGGTGAGCAAAATACTTGACAGCGCTGCAGGAAACAAACACAGTAGCAAATACTCAGTTTATGATCTGTTTACATAATTAACTTTATGAGCTCTTCAGAAATATCAACTTGGCAAACAGCTCGGAAATTGAAAATCCTCTTCTTGACAGCGTTCTCAGGTGAGTAATCCTCACTGGGGAGACAAAAACTAAATTAGCGTCTTCCTGTAATCTAATTCCTGTGTGTGTTTATACAAATCTGCAAAAGCACTCAATCATCTGAGGAGAACAAATTCAAATAGCTGCATCTGGACGTGCTGACTGAAAATGAGGAAAGCCGAACACGTTATTTATTTTATTTTCTATTTATTTCGAATCATCAACAACAGTAATCAGTTAAAATGTTACTGAAGTGCCATGAAGATTTATTACATCACACAACAGAAAGTTTTCTTTGTGTCAAATCATTACAACACAGACTACAGAAAAACACTGGAGAAAGGTTGCATCGGTTATTGTAATAATATGACTATGATTATCATCGATATTATGGCTCTTATATCACTTCAAGACTTTGTAGCTGTTACCTGTGCCATGTGCTTTCTTATAGCTGACTATTTTGTATGTCCTAGGAGCACATATTGAAGAGAACCCCTGTAACAATGTGTAATGCAAAGCTTTGAACATAAACCCTTGTTATTGAACAGAGTTGCAGTCTTAGATAATATAATTTGTTTTTCTGTGTTTTTGGTGTGCTGCAATACTATCATTTAACCCCTGCAGTGTAGACAATTAACCATGCATGTGAGATTGTTTATTATTATTTTTTTTTAATGATAGTTTATTCTAAGCGCTTGCAATGGCAGTAATGACAATTCTCTACTGTGGACTTTTTTCCTTTTTGTGTTCATATTTACATTTAACCTAGAACATAAACAAATGATTTATAGCAAGGACTATTGATTAAAAAAGCCATCTGATCAAATTATGTGCAGCTTCAAGTTGCAGACTACTGGATATGTTTCAAAATATTTGTTCATTTTTACTGTTTATTTGAAATGAAATGATGAAATAAAGTTTTTTTTGCTGTAAATAAACACAATATGCAAGTGAAGGTTTTCTTTTAGTTTAGAAAAAAAGAGTATTTAATAAATGGACGATTTACTTGGTGCATTCAGTGTCTGTTTTTCCATGTTAATATGCACCATTTCTTATCCTTTACACTTATTTTGTTTTTGCAATAGAAAAAAATAAATAAATAAATGAGTGTGCTTTATTGTCATAGTGGGGATATCACCTGTAGTACTTTTTATAGAAATGCATTAATCATTAGATTAAAGGAAAAATGTTTAAAAGCAGCCCATCTACAAAAAATAAATACATAGAAACAGAATGAATGATAGCATAGATTATAAAATAACTTATAAGGCAGGTCAAAACTGCATATACCGGTAGATAAAATGCAAACCAATACTTAGAAATGATTAATGACCAGATAGAAATTTGCTTAGAATTTTATTGGGGGTATTTGGAGCAGTAATAATCATAAGGTTTAACAGCAGCTGGGAGGAAGGATCTGCAGCAGTTTAGCTTAATGCACCTATGGTTGGGTAATCTTTCACTAAAGGAGCTCTCCAGTTCTTAACAGTTTCATGCATAGAGGGAGAGTCACTGTCCAGCTGTGGTTGTGTTTGTTAGAGTTCATCTTTCTCCCACCACCTGCTCTGTGTCAAGGGGGGCATCCTTGGACATAGCTGGCCTTTCTGATGCCAGCACTGTCAAAGAAGGTCTTCAGCATGGTCTGGTAAGACTGGCAGTTCTGCTGGCCAAGCTACTTTAGCAGCATCCCTACACTCTAAAAGGAATTAGTCTCCTCAGCAAGTAAAGTTTTTTCTGATTCTTTTTGTAAACAGGATCAGTGATGTTACTCTGGAGAAGGTTTTTTTTTTTTTTTTTTTTGTTCAGGTGAACACCTTGTAGTTCTTAGAAGAGTCCCTATCTCAAAATAACTTACACAGATCCAATATGTTCATATCTATCAATGCTGTGTAAACAATGTAAACCAGTTCTATTTGGTCATACTAAGAATAATTTAATTGTCTCAAGCTTAAAGAAATTATTTATAGAATATGATCAGTGTCAAACTTATGCCTTAAAGACAAGTGGAACCCTGAAATAGTTGTTACACTTTGCCTGAGATATGCGTCATCCTTAAGTTGTCTTTTTGTTGTAAATGGATAATACTTAAATGAGAACGTCCCAATACACCCCAAACTCTAAAGAATTTATCCAGACCCACTTAAATGCAAATCTGTAGTAGGCTTTGAGTGAACTGCCTTGGCAAGGAACAAACTGGCATGTTGCAAGAGAGGACGTTAGAAGCAAACTCATGAATTTCAGATTGCAAAGCAAGCACCTAACTGAGCCAATCTCCCAGATTGTCTGCAGTTCTCAAACTTTTTAAAATTACAGCCTTAGTCAATAATAGTTTTTACAGGTACTACCCTGTTTACAGAGATTTAGGGTTAATTTCCTCAGCACAGTTTCATTTCTTTTAGTCATACCCTGTTAAACTAAATTTAATTTAGGTATTAAATAAAATTTTGTTTAAGAGGCCTTTTAGTCATCTATAGTCAGTTTATTGTTTATTTTTTAACTAATTTATATAAAAAAAAGTGTAATATAAGAGGAAGGGCCTGTTTTTTATATAACTGTTAATCCTATTTGTAATGTAGTTAGTTTTTTATTTTTAGCAAGATACAGTGCACACATAAACTTTTATTTTTTAAAAACAAAATTTTAAATACATTTAGATGTGCTTATTCAATTCAGTTCAATTCAGTTTATTCATATAGCACATCATCATCTCAAGGCACTTTACAGAGTCAATTCAAAAATATCATGCAGCCAAACTGATTAGTTGATTTTATCGACTCATTGACTCGAAGGCAATCTCTCAGACTTATTCAAACTCTTAAGATTATTAAAAATACTAAGCCCTTATATAGCATTTGTATTGTCTAAATGTACTCTTTAAGTTATTTTTTAATGTGAAATGTAAATTTCAAGTTATAATTTTCCTTCATTTCCTGAGACTAAAATGAACAGACTCAAAGAAGACTGTTCAACCTTAAACAAAATGATTAATCATTAATATGATGCAATGTTTTCTCTATGGCATTTTGCAGCTGAATATAGCACATGTGGATTATTCTGGTAGGTTATTCTTTTTTTTTTTCCATTAGACACAAGTTCCTTAATTTTGTCGCAATGTCAGTTTTATTTGTATAGACACAACACTCCATTTAAGTAAGAATAAAGGCATCATGGATGATGTCATTTTTTCTCTCTTTTAACAGTTTTTCTACTAAAACAAATCCTACCATGACTATTTTGAAACAAATATTCTGAGGAATTTTGCATATATTCAGAAATAGGCACACACTTTCAAACTTAACTACTGTTACTGGACAATTTAGCATTAGAATCTATCATCTTTGGAACATTGTGCAAAGACAGTATGTTAAAAACAAAATTCTACAAGTGCAGATGTATAAAAAAAAAACATTTCTATGTAAAATGAAACACTTCTCACAGTTTTTGCACTAAAAGGCATTTAAGTTGTGTAGCAAATGAAAGAATCCACTTGGTGGCAGCAAAGCTAAAGATGTTTGACAAGTGTTTTTTCTTGTCTTTTTTTATTATATTCAAGAAAAACTAAAAAAACACTCCTGTTTGAGTTTAAACTAATTTCAGGCCTGAGAAGAAATTTTGGAAAAAAATCTGAATGAACCATTAGAAGAGGATTGTTAGTTCATGTGTTTATCTACTTACTTAATGGACAGTTGCATCAGTTGCATTTTTGCTGACTTATACCTGTGCAAACAAAGGTAAGCCATGAGGGAGAGACTTTGAACACTAGTGAGAAAATAAATGCTATAAATGCAGCAACAAGTAGTCTTTATTAGGCTTCAGAAGAGATCAGGAGCTCAGTTCTAACTGCAATACAGATAATGCACTATCAATAAAGTGAATCACAGCCTGTTAAAAAAATAAAGAAAAAAAGAGAAATAGCTACACAAAGACAAAAAATTGCGTAGGCCTCTTTGTCAAAGCATCCAACACAGAACAGATATAACAAATTCATAATCAAACAGCTGAAAACAAGGCCAGCACAACAGAGCTTCCAGTGCATGTGTCCAATTAGCATAACATGCTGGTTGGATGTGTGAAAGAGACAAAGACAGAAGGAAAATATCAAAACACGCCTCAGCTGTGACACATAATCAAAGGGTGGAAGCCACACAAAGAGAGGGTGTTACATTACATTACCCTATGAATCTATGACAGACAACCAGAAGTGGGGTTGATGCAGGGACTTCTGAAAGCTTCTGGTCACCGTGCGCCATGTGTCAATGTATCACCATCCTTGCATTAACTAGACAGTCGTTATAATGACATATGCAGATGTTATAAAAAAGTAGACAGAAACATCAATCAAAGTCCGGCAGGGAAACCGAGAGAACCCTTTTTTGTAATTTTATATAACCCAATAATCATCCAATAAAACAAGATCTTATGGCTGAATTTTAAATAAAAAATGTACTCTCATAGTTTTTACATTGGTGTTAGTGATGAGGAGACTGAAATATTATGTTCTAATGAGTCATTTCTTGCCATGAAAGGTTATAACTATATTACTTCTTATATTTTAAACTTAAAATCATTCTGCATTGGCGTTAATCCTTTTCAGAAGCCTAACCGTTTTTTTCATGGTGAATCCTATTGTGAAGTGAGGATTTTCCTCTGTAGGCTTTTTGTCCATAAAATCAAAGAAGCAACGAGGAGTTTTAGTTTCCCTGCATGTTTTGCACGCACTTTTCAAACCCACAAGTTAAGACTTGCCTGTTTATTGATGCATTCAGGAATAGCATCAAATAGCAGAGCTTCAAATGAATAAGTCTTTATATTTGGGAGTATGGAAGGAGACAAAAAATATGACTTTTAGCCAAATACAAACCAGTTGTTTAAAAAACTGCAAAAAGACAATTATTAGGCTCCTTCTACAGTGTTTGTGGAATGTACACCCACATTCATAGCACAACTGCCTTGAATAAGGTGGCTAGTCCATTCAGATGATTCTGGGTCTCCTACCAGCCGTGTATGTTTGTGAAAGTCCTCCAAAGGAAGAAACAGTACAGTATAACAATAATTTAACTTTGTTGATCTCACATTGGAGAAATTTACCTCTTCATTTAAACCATCCTCTTGGGGAGCAGTGGGCTGCCATCATGTGATACACGGAGAGCGATCGGGGGGTTAAGGGTCTTGCTCAGAGAGCCAGAGTGGCAGTCTGTGGGAGTGGGTTTTGAACTCAACACCTCAGAATTCCAAGCTCTATGCCCTAACCACTTAACCTGTCTCCGCCAGATGGATTTGCTCCGCATATC